ATGCTATTTCAGACACCAGCTTCCTGTCAACAAGGCATCCTTGAGTACCAGTTTCTTGTGTCTCCTGGAAAGGTTTCACATACAGTTCTCTACATGCTGAAACGTGTGTAAATGGTAATTAACAGTCTATTTTGGCAATCTTTCCAGTTTTCATAAACATTTCTGCTAAACTGCCCTTTTGTGGTCCTTCACAGAGGCTGGCCAGATTTCTGTTCCTGCCCACAGGCAGTGTGTGTGGATGCCTGTTTACCCACAACCTTCCTAGCACAGAACACTGTCCAAGTGCCTTTGATTTTTTGAGGGAAAATATAGTACTTCATAGTTTAAATGTGCACTTCTGTCATATTTGCAATCACATAAAATTGGGCATCTTTGAGGTGAATTTAAAAATTCTTTCCAGTTCTTCTCTTAAGGTTTATGTATTGAATGCCGTGAATACCATTTAAGATTGTGTGTCAAAGTGTGTATTAATTTAGCAGTTGATCTCCTGTGGCTTGTAGGTATTCTATTACTTAGAAAAGTCTTAGAACAGCCAGGATCACACGCATACTGTGTGGTTTTTTTCCTCCACTTAAGATTAAAATGTGGACATAGGTTTAGAGAGTATCTTGAATGGCTGCTGGGAAGGATATCAGAGGTTTTGTTTTTAAATCTTGGTAACAGGTAATTCCTAAGGGCAGGCTTATCTTTATTATTTTTTTTTTCCATTTGTAATATCTGATATTTATTTATTTTTATTTTTTTTTTAATTTTTTACTGTGGGTTGTTCAAAACATTACAAATTTCTTGACATATCATATTCCACACTTTGATTCAAGTGGGTTATGAACTCCCACCTTCACCCCATACCCAGATTGCAGAATCACATCAGTTACACATCCATTGATTTACATATTGCCATACTAGTGTCTGTTGTGCTCCGCTGCCTTTCCCATCCTCCACCCTACCCACTCCCCACCTCTCCCCTCCCCTCCCCTCCTCTCTCTCTACCCCCTCCACTGTATAACCCTGAGGGTCTCCTTCCATTACCATGCAATTTCCCTTCTCTCTCCCTTTCCCTCCCACCTCTCATCCCTGTTAAATGTTAATCTTCTTCTCCTGCTCTTCATCCCTACTCTGTTCTTAGTTACTCTCCTTATATCAAAGAAGACATTTGGCATTTGTTTTTTAGGGATTGGCTAGCTTCACTTAGCATAATCTGCTCTAATGCCATCCATTTCCCTGTAAATTCTATGATTTTGTCATTTTTTAATGCAGAGTAATACTCCATTGTGTATAAATGCCACATTTTTTTAATCCATTCGTCTATTGAAGGGCATCTAGGTTGGTTCCACAGTCTTGCTATTGTGAACTGTGCTGCTATGAACATCGATGTAGCAGTGTCCCTGTAGCATGCCCTTTTTAGGTCTTTAGGGAATAGACCAAGAAGGGGAATAGCTGGGTCAAATGGTGGCTCCATTCCCAACTTTCCAAGAAATCTCCATACTGCTTTCCAAATTGGCTGCACCGATCTGCAGTCCCACCAGCAATGTACAAGTGTACCCTTTTCCCCACATCCTCGCCAGCACTTGTTGTTGTTTGACTTCTTAATGGCTGCCAATCTTACTGGAGTGAGATGGTATCTTAGGGTGGTTTTGATTTGCATTTCTCTGACAGCTAGAGATGGTGAGCATTTTTTCATGTACTTGTTGATTGACTGTATGTCCTCCTCTGAGAAGTGTCTGTTCAGGTCCTTGGCCCATTTGTTGATTGGGTTGTTTGTTCTCTTATTGTCTAATTTTTTGAGTTCTTTGTATACTCTGGATATTAGGGCTCTATCTGAAGTGTGAGGAGTAAAGATTTGTTCCCAGGGTGTAGGCTCCCTATTTACCTCTCTTATTGTATCTTTTGCTGAGAAAAAACTTTTTAGTTTGATTAAGTCCCATTTGTTGATTCTAGTTATTAACTTTTGTGCTATGGGTGTCCTATTGAGGAATTTGGAGCCCGACCCCACCGAATGTAGATCGTAGCCAACTTTTTCTTCTATCAGACGGCGCGTCTCTGATTTGATATCAAGCTCCTTGATCCATTTTGAATTCACTTTTGTGCATGGCGAGAGAAAGGGATTCAGTTTCATTTTGTTGCATATGGATTTCCAGTTTTCCCAGCACCATTTGTTGAAGATGCTATCCTTCCTCCATTGCATGTTTTTAGCCCCTTTATCAAATATAAGAAAGTTGTAGTTTTGTGGATTGGTTTCTGTGTCCTCTATTCTGTACCATTGGTCCACCCGTCTGTTTTGGTACCAGTACCATGCTGTTTTTGTTACTATTGCTCTGTAAGGCTTATCTTTAGATCTTGCACAATTTTGAGGCAGTGCCTCCGTCCTGCTGGACCCCGGGGGCGGGGCTGTGGTAACTGCGCAGTGGGGCCTTGGCCTGAGCAGGGGGCGTTTCTCAGGGGCCCGGGGCGTTGTGGCTGCTCAGTGGGGCCTTGGCTGCTGCAGGGGCATCTTCATGGCTGCGCAGCGGGTCCTTGGCCACCCAGTGGGGGCTTGGCCGCACAGGGGGCATCGTCATAGCCGTGCAGTGGGGACTTGGCCAGCGAAGGGGGCGTCGTGGTGGCCGCACTGGGGGCCTCGTGGTCTTTCAGTGGGGCCTTGGCCGTCGCAGGGGGCGTGCTGGCGGCTCAGAGAGGGTCATCCTGGCTGCGCAGCGGGCGTTGTCCAGGGTGCGCAGTGGGCGTTGTCCAGGGTGCGCAGTGGAGCCTTGGGTGCACCACTTGGTCGCACAGGGGGCGCAGTCGCGACCGCTCAGTGTAGGCTTAGTCGCAGAGGGGGCGCAGTCGCGACCGCGCAGTGTGGACTTGGTGGCGCAGGGAGCGCAGTCCTGGCCGTGCAGGGGGACCTTGGTCGCACAGGGGGCGCAGTCGTGGCCGTGCAGGGGGACCTTGGCCGCACAGGGGGTGTCGTCGTGGCCGTGCAGGGGGACCTTGGCCCGCGCAGGGGGAGGCGTCGTGGCCACGCAAGGGGACCTGGGGCGCGCAGGAGCCATCGTGGCCGTGCAGGAGGGCCTTGGCCACTCAGGCGGCCTCGTGGCCCTGCAGGGGGACCTGTCAGGGGGCATCGTAGCCACGCAGGGGTTCCTTGTGGCTGCGCCATGGGGCCTTGCGGCTGCGCTTGGGGTCGTAGGTGCGCAGGAGCGTGTAGCTGCGACCCTGGTGCACGCCCGGGGCCCTCCCTGCCCGAGCGCCTGCGGCTGCAGCGCCCCCTGGCTGTGGGGCGGGCGGCCGAGGGTGGCGGCCGTCCCCGCGCCGCGCCCTGGTGCCCTGGGAGTCCTCCTGGGCCTGCCCGGTGGCGCTCTGGCCCGCGGCCTCTGACTCCGCTGCGCACAGCAGGCACCCGCACCTCGTCGCTGCCCTGTCTGTCCCGCGCCTCGCCGCCCGCCCTCCGGGACCTCGGGGACCCAGTTCTGCACTTCCGGGTTGGCCCGCGCCTGTCTGTCATCCTGGGGCGGCGCAGTGCTGTGCTGGGCGCGGCCCTTTAAACTTTCTGTTTTTAAACTTGGGGGTGTGGTCGCGGCTCCACCTCTCCTCTCTGCTGGCTGTCCCGACCCTCGGGTCCCTCTGTCCCCGCCCTCCAGATGCCCCAGCGTTATGAGCCGCCCGGGCGCAGGGTCCACTCTGGTGGCCGAGGTGATCCAAGGTGAGGCGGGGGGGGGGGGGGGCGCTCTGGGACTGAAGTGACACTAGGGTAGGCATCTGGGCGCAGGGCTCGCTGGTGGCCGAGGTGACAGAGGGCCGGCGGGAGGGCGCCCCTACATGGGAGGCACGGGCGGTGCCCACGAGCCCTGCACTTGCGGGCACCCTTAGGCTTGGAGAGGTGGGCGTCCAGGGCAGACCGCAGGGTCCCGCTTGGCAAAGCCGCCCGGGTGGACAGGCCCGTGTCCTCCCTGCCCCGCAGCCACCCCCACGTCCTGAGCGCAGTCTTGGGTGCTGTGCGGGATCAGAGGTCGCTGGTGGTTGGAAAGGAGTGAGCCTGTCACCCGCTGCAGTGTCCGCGGCTGCCAGGAATGTGGAGTTGAGTTTATGAGGAAATAAATGTAGCAGTTGGCGTGAGTTGAATCGCAGACCAGAAAAAAAAAAAGTTTACCACTGGGGGAAAGGATGCCAGCTGGCGCCCTGTTTCTTGTCTGAAAGTAACACACGCTTTGAAGGCTGCCTTCATTTTTGCCACGTTTTGAGTGTAAGTATCCCCTAGCACGACTGGAGTTACTACCGTGTGCAGAGGACTTTGAGGACTTAGGCCACCTTTTTTTTGGGTGGGGGGAGAAGGGTGAAGCTTCTGAACATGAACATTCGTGCCCCATACCAGCTTGTCTGCAGTTAAGAAGCACAAGTTCATCTGTCTCATTATGCAGAAACCTCTCATTTCTTGTGTTTTAATTAATATTAATTTGTCTTATTGTTTAAAAAACACAAAGTAGTGATTCCAAATTTAAAAAAAAAAAAAAAAAAAAGCAATCCCTGCCAACAGTTGGGTAAACATATGGTTGGTTTGGTTGTTTTCTGCTAGCTGCGAACAGTAATTTTGAAAGCATTCTTACAAAATAGTTTCTTACCGAAATGACTTTCCAGATGGCTGGAAGCTTGAGCTGAAGCTAGTAGTAAGGCACCAAATGTATGCTGTGTGGTCTTTGTTGAAATGTCTTAGTCCAGGGGAACTAAAGTTTTAGTGTGAGAGGTTCCTTCAGAAGTCAGACCTTATCACTAGATGTGATGTCCCTACTGATGAAACTTAGGTTTAAAGGCAATTTTCCTTTAAAAATTGTGCTTATTCTTATCCATCCACAGTCAGAATATTTTGAAATTATCTTTTGCCACCACTACCATCTGAAACATGCATGGAAAAAAATAAGACTCTTGACTTCATCTGAGGAACAGTTGCACCATGCTATAGGAAACTTTTAAAATTTTATTTTAAATAACTTGAAGGAAGGAACATTGCAATTTTTCCATTTCAGATCGCCTTTGTTTTGCCATTCTCTACAGCAGACCAAAGAGTGCATCAAATGAACATTATTTCAGCATAGATAATGAACTTGAATATGAGAAGTAAGTATTGCTTTTAAAAAGATTGTAACTTTTTTTGAACAATCTAAAGGTATGTTTATTAAGAGCAGAGCCCTGGAAACTCACAAAACTGTTGGTTGCTCATTGCAAGATGCTTTTTAAAAAAACAAAAAACTAGTAGTAGACCTATAAGGAGGGAAATGAAAATGAAAGGCCTCTCCTATATTTAAATCTATAGATTCAGTATTTAATAGTTTGCACTGCAATGAGACAATAGTGTATACTAAGTTAAACACGGATTTCTCCAGTAGAAAATTCGAATAGAAGAACAACTTGCTTATTTTGGAAGGCATTTTCATGTTAATTGAGGTTTCATGGAGGCTGTGACACCTGTTGTGTGTGTGTGTGTGTGTGTTGTGTTACTTTGTTGGGGATGGAGCATCAGGGCCTCAAGTGTGCCAGGCAGGTGCTCCAGCACTGAGTTACCCCCCCAGCCCCCTGGTTGCTTATTTTCAGAAGGCATCGCTTACCGGAACTTTCCTACCACTAGTAGGGGTGCTTTGAATTGTGTGACCTGATTGGTTGGTTTGGTGGATGTGCTCTGGTCCTTAATTTGATCTTATACACACACACACACACACACACACACAAAAAAAAAAAGACATTTGTATTCAGAGTATTTAGAATATACATACATGCTTTTATTTTTTATTTTTAAAGCTTCTACGCAGATTTCGGACCACTCAATCTGGCAATGGTTTACAGATATTGTTGCAAGATAAATAAGAAACTCAAGGTAAAGTCTTTTTTGTTTAAGATTTGACCTGAGTAATCATTGTTAATTTAGTCTTGGGAAGAAATTAAGGACAACTTTTTTTTTTTTAAGGTTTTAAAAAAATTCATAGAGGGTTTGAAAGCATTCTTTCCCTTTAAGAATACCATTTCTTACTGAAATGACTTTTTTTAGGATGTCACTGTAGTGGTGTTTAGGACAAACATTTGTTTGTCTTGTAAAGTCATAGTGCTTATATTTATTTTCTAGAGTTTTGTTGCAACAGTTAAAATTTGGGCCAGCTGATTCTGACTTGGGTTGCTGATGCTCAAATACTTGAAAAGTCAAAGTGGAGGTTGGTTAATTCAGTAAGACTCTACTGTCTGACTTAATGGCATGAGAAATTCTTTCCGAGCTTTGGTCATTGTTTTTTCTTTATTGTGATGAGGGATTGCTAGCAAACTAACAGGAAAAACGGGCTCTGCTATCTCTCCTGTCTTAGAATCCCCATTATATAGTACTAGTTGTGACTCTTTGACCTTGTATACTTCATGATTGAGGAGGGCAAAGACAAATGGCATATCACTGAAGATTAAGATTGGCTTAAACTTTGACCTCATTCTTTTAGAAACTTTGAATTATTGGTCAGGCACAATTGGAAAGGTCTATGGTACCACTTGCAAGCAGTAACGCATTAGTTTACTGTATATTGTCAAATAGAAAATTCTGCATTTGGGAAGCAGGTCCTTTTTAAAGGGTTGTACAGTGGATTGTCTACCAGGCAACTTTGCAAATTTTTTCACTTTCAAATTTTAATTTGCCTTAATTAAAAATTTTTGAGTAAGGAACCCCCTCCCCCCAAGCATCACCTTGTATTCCTCCTGGGCTCCCTTAAATAGGAATGTGAACATGAATGGCTTTGTGTGCACGTGTCCCCTCCCCTCTTTTCACTTGCCAGTGGCAGATATTTTGTTTCCCATAGGGCTGGGAAGCTAAAAATAATTCCTTTTATTTGCCCCTTCTTGTATTTCTTTGCTTTAATTTTGAAAGAGTTACTACTATGCTTAGCTGTCTCTGGACTCTTATCCTTTGGTTTGAGTCAACCAAAACCAATCTCAATTCTTTTTAAAAATAATTTACTAGAACAGCTTATAATGTGAAGATTGTCCTGTTTTGCTACTAGATGGCTGATGGTTGGTTGGGTTGGTTGGTTTGGCACTGGGGATTGAACCCTGGGCTGCTCTGCTACTGAGCTACCTTCCCAGCTCTTATTTTAAATTTTGAGACAGAGTCTTTCTATGTTGCTGAGGCTGGTCTTGAACTTTTGATCCTCTTGTCTTTGCCTCCCAAGTGGTTGGGATTGCAGGCATGTGCCACTGCCAGGGCTTTGTTTTTTTTAATTTTATATATATATAATATAATTTTATATATCTATATATATATATATATATATAATTTTTTTAAATCAACTTGTGTCTCTTACTCTATGTAAACCAGTAAAGGAAACTGTGTATGCATTCATCAAGAAAGCACAGAATATTGAAACACTGGAAAATGGACTTAGAGAAGCCAGGCCAGATACACTCAGCTGAATGTGTCCCTTTCCCTCCTTCCCCCAGTTTATTTTCCTCGCAGCAGTGAGGTACAGCTAGGAAGTGCTCCTTTCACCTCTGACTTCTGTTTCTGTCTGTATTAGACTCTGTGTTAGAGTATGACGTGCATGTTGGGGTGCAGTGCATGCAGACCGTGGGTGTGCAGCTCTGCACATTTGCGGACTGAATTCTTTGGGCAAGTATCTTGAGCAGTAGATCCAGGAGAGCCCCAGAAGCCCCAGAAGAGCCCACCGGAGCCTCCTCCACGGCCCCTCCCAGGATTCCACTCTCCGGGTTCTAGGCGGCGTAGAGTATTTTTGCATTGTTCTGTAAACTCTTGTATTTTTTTTTGTGTGTGGTGCTGGGGATTGAACCCAGGACCTTGTGCATGGGAGGCAAGCACTCTGCCAACTGAGCTACAGCCCCAGCCTCTACCCTTGTGTTTTAACATAGTGGTGCTTGGATTACTTGAAAAAGCGAACAGGAAAGAGAAGTTGTGTTGCAGAGGTGCCGTCTCCTTTGTTGTTGCTTTTTAGACTTTGAGAGGTTTGCTTACACACTCACACACATGACCAGTTGTGGACAATGTGGAGACCAGTGGCTGAACATTACAGCTTGGGAACGCCCAGCACTGTGAGTGGCTGTGGCATTCAGCATTGAGCACGGTCCTGAGGGTCCTTGGTTTTACGGCCCTGCAGGTCCCCTTGGAAATGAGCCAGCGGTGGTCTGTCAGCCTGGATCAGGACGCGTCTCTGTCCCTTTAGCCTCATGTTCATCCATGCTTCAGAACATGCCCTTTGTGGGAAGGTACCTGGTATCTTTGGGTACCAGTGTTGGTCTTTCCCACAGCCTTGCTAACGTGTGTGCTTCTCTGGTGAGATTGTGAATTTGTGTTATCACGAAGTGAAGTTTTAGAAAACTCAAAAAGGAAATGCTAACAACTATTTATTTTCACGCAGTCCATTACAATGATAAGGAAGAAAATTATTCATTTTACTGGCTCTGATCAGAGAAAACAAGCTAATGCTGCTTTCCTTGTTGGATGTTATATGGTAAGTACTTCACTAGTTTCCTGACCTATTTGTAGAAACGTATACTTCAGTGGTTCTTTAAATCTTGGGGGTGGAATTTCGAAGTCACTTTTTCTAAGGTTCTGTCTTGGTTTGTTTCTAAAGGGAACATATTTTGCTTTTTATAAACCAACCAGCTGGGCCAGGGTTGTGGCTCAGTGGTAGAGCGCTTGCCTGGCACGTGTGAGGCACTGTTCAATCACCAGCATCACATTAAAAACAAACAAAAAAACCCTAAATAAACAAAACAGAGGTAAAAAAAAAAAACAAAAAACCTGACCAGCTGAAGGAGACAGTGCTTAGGTGGGGGTGGGGAGCCTATGGAGAGTTTTCTTAAAAATAAAACAGAACACTGGATAAATGTTGGAAATGAGTAACTGCTTTTCGAATCTTACTGCTCTTCTCCCTGCCTCCGGGGTGCTAGGGACTGAGCCCAGGCCCCAGGCATCCCAAGCAGGCACCCACCAATCCATCCACCACTCAACTGCGCTTCCAGCCCTCTGCTGTTGCTTTTTTTAAACTACTAGTGGGGAAAAAAATAACCTCTTGGCATAGTTATGGACAATTTCTTGTCATGTTTGTTCCCAGCTTGGTGTGACTTTGACTGTTCATGGTTGTGTCTTGGCACACAGAAGCTTTTTTTTTTTTTAATGATTAATGTGTTCGTGTTTAGAAGTCCTTCAGGATTCTGCACTTTTGGTTGGTTCTGGGGTGATTGGTTAGGACAGCGCCAGGGTAAGCTGATTAGGACATGCACTCTAGTTTGTTCGCCCCGGCTCTGCTCAGATCCCAGCCAGAGGATTACGGTTTGGCTGTGACAAGCCTCTGAAGCCCTCCCCGGCTGGAGAAAGAAAGGACGAGGTTGGAGCAGCCATGATGATCTCCTAGGAGCAGGAGAGAAGCTCCCGAGAAAAGGAGATTTATTGTAGTGGAGGAGGAGTGTCAGGTATGAGGTGGCTGGCCCAGAAGGTAAAGCACCCAAGCCATCAATGAAGCTTTGACTGGTCAAAGTCCAGTGAGTTCTCTATTGAAGCCTGGTAGAGACGAGTGATGATCCCTATAAATTCACCTGCAGCTCTGATAGCCTTTGCTGGAGTCGTGGAGGAATTTTACAGATGGTAAAGATTTTTCACAGTCAGCTTGTCTGGTGACGTTAAGACCAAAAACCCAGAGGAAGAATCATTAGGAAGATAATACTCCAAATGGACTGTCCACTTCATCCTTCCTGTAAACTCCGGGCTTCTGTAGGGATCATGGTTTGTTCATCATTTTATATGTAAAAAGACTTCACAAGGAGTGGCGAGAGGATGTCCCACTCCTTTTGGGCATAAAGCATTCATACTTTATTATTTATCTTAAAACAAAAGAGGTTGGGCTTCACGAAGCTTTAAATACGGACAGTCATGCCCGGCCTCCGTTAGCCCTTCTGTCGGTTGGACGGTCGGGTGCGCTGTGTATTAGATTCCTTTGTCTTAAGTGCATTTCAAAGTTCTGCCCTTTTCGTGGCCTGCTAAGTGGCTTTCCCAGTTCACCCATCTGGTGGGGGAATCTTTGGTAATTGAAAGCAGAATGAAGCCAAAATTCTTCTGCACCTCTGTGAAAAGAGTAGGAACTCAAAGAGGTTTTTTCCTCTGCAAAAGAATAAGTGTGCCCTATTGTTTCGTGAAATGGGGAACTTGCTTCTATTCTATGGATATGCCACTGACTGCTTCCTAGCTAGATTTTGGGGTCCCAGTGCTTAGCCTTCTCATGCCAAACTAAAGGTGAGATTGTAAGTGGAAATGGAAATGCTTTGTAAAGCAAATTCATGATTAAAACAGTTTGTAAATTTTGAAATTCTATTTTTGTAAAAAGTAATATCATGCACAGAAACCTATATTTGCACCCTTGAGAATTTTAGGAAGAGCCTTTATATTTTATAGAAGCAGGACATATGTATGCAGTCATGTACATGCATGTTATAGGTTTTGTGTTTATAAGCAGTTTTATTGCCTGCTTCTTTTTTAGTCAGTGATCTGTTCTTTTGTATTAGTTCATATTTTATCATCTTTATGCCCAGATTGTATTGGTGTTTTCCATATTGGCCTCAAACGTCCAAATGATCTAATCTGCAACCACAAGCATGAGGCTCAGTGCCTTTGCCGCCTCTTCTTGATAGGATCCTTTTTTTTTTTTTCTTTTTTAAATACCAGGGATTGAATCCAGGGGCATTTAAGCCACATTCCGAGCCCCTTTCATTTTAATTTTTAAAAGAATTTAAACTTTACTTTTTCTTCATTTGTTTTTATGTGGTGCTGAGGATGGAACCCAGTGCCTCACCCGTGCCAGTCAAGCACTCCACCACTGAGCTACAACCCAGCCCTGCCCCCTTTATTTTTTTATGTTGAGACAGGGTCTTGCTAGGTTCCTTAGAGTCCTGCTAAGTTGCTGAGGCTCGCCTTGAATTTGAGATCCTCCTGCCTCAGCCTCCTGAGCTGCTGCTGTTACAGACGTGTGCCACCACGCCTGGCACAATCACTTCTTGATGGCACTGACTTATCGACGGGGCCAGCCCTGGCATCTGGTAGAATGGTCTCTTTGCTTTTTGAGTTTCACTGTTTTTTTCCTTGTGGTTTCTTTTAACTCCACAAAGCTACTCCATTCTGTGTATTTCTTGTGTACTGGAAGTTAAAACAGCGGCTTATCCATTAATAGTAAAAGTTGCACAACATCAGAAAACATGAAATACTTGCATCACTATTAACAACGCTGAAAATGACCACTGCGTTGTGGGTAACCATGCAGCCCCTCAGTGTGTGCCTTTCTCCTGTGACTCACAGCCCCCTACAGGTGGGTTTGGGCATTGTCATATCAGCTCTCAGTCTAGTGTTTTAAGCAGCAGTTTATAAAACAGTGATGCTTTGGCCAGCGACGGGCCGTGGCCACAGGTTGCAGGGCTCAGTGATGTCTTGGACGAGTGTGTCAGCACACCCTGTGATGTTTGTACAGTGGCGCAATCACCTGAAGGTGATCCTCAGACCTCATCCCGAGGGTGAGCTGTGCCCCCTGTGCTTGCCCACACCAGGCTCCCCCGGGGCTCGGTGTGTGTTCCTCTCGTCCTTTGTTGACTCCCTGGCTTTCTTTTAAGGGAGTCAAGCTTTCCTTCCTCCAGTTGGACTGTTGGTCCCCCTACCAAGTGTCCAAATGAACAGGCCGAGTGAACGGTCATTCCCCTCTAATTGCCAGTTTTCAAAGGAAGGTATTTCGATTGCTGCAGAACAAGAATTTTATGACCTGTTTTAAAATAATCTAAACAAAGGCTCGATGGGTTTTGAACACATCTGCTAAACATTTTTTAAAATGCACAAGAAGGGGCTGGGGCTGTGGCTCAGCTGTAGCGCACTTGCCTGGCATGCATGAGGCACTGGGTTTGAGCCTCAGCACCGCATATAAATAAATAAACAAATAAACAAACAAATAAATAAAGGTCGATCAACAACTTATATATATTTTAAAAAGATGTGCAAGAAAACATCTCATTAGCTTTTGGGGAGTTGGGAATTTTCTAAATGAATGTGCATCTTTGCTGGGTGGGATTAAACAGTGAGTTTCATGTCCATGAGTTCAGCCAACTGCACATCAGAAAATACCTATTTTAAAATTGCATCTGAAAGGGCTGAGGATGTGGCTAAGTGGGAGAGTGCTTGCCTGGCCAGAAGGAGGCCCTGGGTTCCAGCCCATCGAGAGGTGTGCGGAGCACACAGAAGCTCTTCTTTTCCCTATTCCCTGGATCATAGACTGCAGTAACTATTTAGGTAGCATTTGTGTTGTTTTAGGTGCTGAAAGAAAATTTAAACCACACCAGAGGATGTGCATGGGCTGTATGCAAATACCATGCCTTTTGATATAAGGTTATTTATTTTATTTTGTTAGTTGAGGGAAGTTCTAGGACCAGTCCTAAGGATCAAGGGAGAGCTGCATGATCTTTTGGTTGGCTAAGCTAATGATATACTTAACACGTGTATTTAGGAATCAAAATTTTGTTGTTGTTGTTTCGGCAGCCATTCAAGAACTATTTTTTAAAAAACGAAGCATATATCAGTTACATTAACTTTAAATTGTTAATTTTTTTCTTTTTTTAAATTGGTGCATTATAGATAATTGTTACTTTATCACAACGTTTTAGATGTGTACTTTTTAATGGAGGTGGTGTGCTGGGTCTAGTAGTATGTAGAAACAACGATTTCTAGTTGCAAAAAAACATTTGAGGGGCTGGTGGTGTAGCTCAGTGGTAGAGCATGTGCTACCTACCATGTCCAGGGCCCTCGGTTCAGTCCCCAGCACTGGGAAGAAAGAGTGTGTGTGTGTGTGTGTGTGTGTATGGAGGGGGGGGAGAGGGGTTGAATGATTTGAAAGAGACCGAGGATTGGTAGATGGCGTTTAGTGATTTAGGTTCAGACTGAACTGACTTCAGAGAATTCATGTTTTCCTGCTGTACAACATTACTGAGCTCTTCTACAGATTAAATGTACATTTGAGGGCTAGTCTGGAAAATTAACCAGCATTTCTAACATTTTTCTGTGTGTAAAGTAAATGCAAAACATTCTGAGTAAAAAATATACGACATAAGCAAACTATGGGCATATAGCTTTCAAATTTGCTGTTGTCTCGTATTTGAGAGATAACTTTGGCAGAGGTAATCATGGTAGCAATGTGTATGTTTCCCTGGTCAAGCTTTATCACTATATGTATTTTTTAAGTTTCCAGTAGTTTTTATAGCTTTGGAATGACTTGCCGTGTAAACATTTATAGGGATAATGATGATACTAATTAAATTCTAAGAGGATGTTAACTCCGCAGTCTGCAGGTGGAATCCCAGATTGCATTGACTTTGAGATCACCTCAGCAGACAGGCGCTCAGGGACCTCATCATTATTCATTGATCATTGTTTGAACCTATGGTCCGATTTTTAAGTGATTTAATTACTTTGGACTTAAAATTG